CTGAATCTGGGTGGGGTCAGCCTCATCAGAACAGCACAGTGAGTTTGGGGATAGGGGGACGGAATATGCAAAGAAAAACCAGGACAACGCTAAGCAGACAAAATAAAGGTATTTTTTTTCCCCCTATTACAACCAAGGCCACCTGGATTTCATAGTTCCTGCCCAGGAGGCAAACCTGGCTTACTAATTTCAGTGTTCTTTATTAGAGAGACACACATAGCAGAGACATAGGAAGGGAAATCAGAAGAGGGAGGGGAGGATAGAGCCTCTAAGGGCAAGAATGCTTTTTTTTTTTTTTTTGAAATTTTGTTTTCATTTGAGACAGGGTCTCACTCTGTTGCCCAAGACAGAGTGCAGTGACACAATCACAGCCCACTGCAGCCTCAACCTCCCTGGGTTCAGGCAATCCTGCCACCGCAGCAGCCTCCCCAGTAGCCGGGACTGCAGGTACATCCCCATGCCTGGCTAATTTCTGTATTTTTTTTTTTTTTTTTTTTTTTAGAGACAGCATTTTGCCATGGTGCGCAGTCTGGTCTCAAACTCCTGGGCTCAAGCGATCCACCTGCCTTGGCCTCCCTAAGTACTGGGATTACAAACATAATCGTGGCTCCCAGCTGAGTGCTGTAAGGGTCTTTTCCAAACTGAGTGCTGTAAGGGTCTGGGATAGGCAAGGAAGATGCTAAGGGTGTGGCCACTTGCTGTACAGTGGAGCAGGGACCTTAGAACTACATAGAAGAATGCTGGCCGGGTGCAGTGGCTCACGCCTGTAATCCCAGCACTTTGGGAAGCCGAGGTGGGCAGATTATGAGGTCAAGAAATGAAGACCATCCTGGTCCACATGGTGAAACCTCATCTCTACTAAAAATACAAAAATTAGCTGGGCGTGGTGGCACGTGCCTGTAATCCCAGCTACTCGGGAGGCTGAAGCAGGAGAATCGCTTGAACCCAGAGGCGGAGGTTGCAGTGAGCCGATCGCACCACTGCAGTCCAGCCTGGTGACAGAGCGAGACTTCGTCTGAAAAAAAAAAAAAGGAATATATAGAATGCCTTCTGAATAATCATTTCTTTTTTGAAATCATGGCAAAATCTCCCTGGACACAGGGATGGGTGTAAAGAGCAGCTGGGCAGGGGATGAGGGCCTGTGCCTGAGGTGTCCAAGGGCGGCCCCAGTTCCCTGCAGATCCAGTGCAGCGGGAGGTGCAGGTAGATCTCCCTCCCCAGGGCACAAAGTTGGGTGGGGAACAGCTGTCAGCACGAGCCACATCCCACCCCACCCCGCTCAGGCCTCAGAAACCTCAGGGAAATGCCTAGATGCTCCACCTCAAGGAAAACATTGAGGCCCCATAGCCAGGAGTGCCCTGTTTGTGTCTAAAAGTTGCCCCAGCCCACATTTACAGCTGGGAGGATCAGAAGGGCAATCTCTGTCTTCTCCCCAAAGGAAATCATACACATAGTTACCACCGGGAGCAGGGTGGGCCATCTGCACTCCTCATCCTACCTCGCCATCACCTTAGGAAGCAGCCATTCTCCTTGTCTTTACTGTAGAGAAGGAAGCCTGGATGGCCTGCAGTTGAGGGGACCTGCGCAAGCTCACAGGACTCTTCATCACCATAACACCTCCCTCACCCCAAAATAAAAATGATCAAACCTGTCATGATGTCAGCAGCACTGGTGTTGGTCTTTGTGGGAGAGAAAAACACAGGCCAGGGCTGCAGCACCATTGTGTCTTCCCAGCCCGGAGAACACCATTGGATTCCCTCCCACACATGTTCCCAGACTGCCTGCCTGCCTCACTTACCTGCTCAGGGTGGGGCTGGAGGGTGGGCCCTGGGAAGAGTAAGAACTGGCCAAGCCTGAGATGTCCTTCCCTCATTTAAGGGACCACCTTTTCCCTTCTCCCGCCATCCGGGGTGCCTGGATACTTGGGATTAGAAACTAGACTGGAAATGTAATCTTTCTTCCGTTTGGGGCTGAGAACTGGGTATTAGTAGGATTTTGAGTTTATAGCACAGCCATTTCCTAAAAGCAATTAAGACTACACCGGGCGCGGTGGCCCACGCCTGTAATCTCTGCACTTTGGGAGGCTGAGGCAGGCGGATCACCTGAGGCTGGGAGTTCAAGACCAGCTTGACCAACATGGAGAAACCCCGTCTCTACTAAAAATACAAAATTAGCCAGGTGTGGTGGCACATGTCTGTAATCCCAGCTACTGGGTAGGCTAAGGCAGGAGAATCGAACCCGGGAGGCAGAGGTTGCGGTGAACGGAGATCGCACCATTGCACTCCAGCAGCCTGGGCAACAAGAATGAAACTCTGTTTAAAAAAAAAAAAAAATTACAGTCATCTCCCAGAAAAATCAAGAAGGAAGACTGTTGGAGGTTCAACCTATAGAAGATATGTTCTCATGGAATAAACCAAAAATAATTTTTATTTTAAAAAAAAATCAAGAACAGAAGTCTCTCAACATTTAAGTTTTACAGACAAATAGAACCTGAGCCACTGAGTAAACATGACAAATGACACACGGTAACAAATATTGAAGATATCGTAATGCCAAAGCAACAGAAGCAGCACCAGAAATGTTGCTGAGGCCACCATTTAGTTAATGCAAGTTGAACATATGGCTTTGGTTACCTGTGGTTCCAGGCCAGAGGCATGAAAGTCAGTGTTTGGGGGAAAGCCAGGAGGAAAAGCTCCTCTCCCCACCCCCACCTTGTCACTCAAGGTTCTGGTGCCCAAATCTCGGGACACGCCTCCCATTTCACTCCTGCACCAACCCCACTCTTGTAACACTGCACATGCAAGATTGTGAGAATCTTCAAAGTGTGAATATTGCCTTCTTCATTTTAGAATCCATGATGTGCTTGTGGAGAGAATGAATGAATGCTCAAACATGAATGGAGACAGACAGAGAGGAAGGGCAGGCTTAACCAAGGAAACTTATTCTTTCCTAGAAAATCATTGATGAGCCTGGAGAGAGTTGGCTGAACAAAGGTAACAATTTTTTTTTATTATTATTTAACGTATTAAGTTGGTAGAAAAAGTAAAAGAGTGAATCGAGGTTTTTGGATTGGAAGAAGGGGCCCACTGAGTTCCCTCCGGGATTGTGGAGTTTCTTTTACAGCCACATGTGGAGAATAAACTAAGGGCCACAGACCAAGTGACAGGTTGGATGGCAACCCTGGAAAAGCCACACACCTTGGCCTGTTGGAGGAAGAGGAGCAGTAGAACCTGCGTGGAGCCTGACAGAACCCAAGATGCCGTTCAGGAACCGAGAGGCCTTTCAAGATCACACACAGTTCTACAACACAGACATTTTGTCTTCTTGCCACTTAGCAGCGGGGCCCATCCCTCTGTGCCTCCAAGCTCCGTGGGCCATGTGGAAAACTCAGGTGTTCTGTCTCTGCCAGGATCTTCTTCCTGCTGCTTAGTTAAGTGTCTGCTGCTTCGGGGCCTCAAGTGCCTGCTTTATCTCCTCCTTTACTACCAAGTCTTCACTCTAAGCAATTTGCCAAGACAGAGAATCTCACTGGCCTTGTGGGGCTGAGCCTTCCTTCACTGGCTGACCGACCGGGAAGTGGGCTGCTGCCTGAATCAGGTGCACGCCACAGTTCATCCAGCCGTGTGCAGAGTTCTAGGGTTATGCGCATGACCCCGTGTGTGGGCAGAGGCTCTTAGCAGGGGCCGAGAGCACTGTAGGCATCTTGAGGGCCAGAGTCCCCAGCCCCAGATCACAGATACAGCATGATCAAAATATGAGGGGTCAGGGGCAGAGATTATTTGGAATAATGTGCTGAGTTTGTACACTTTTGACAATTAAAAGCCCTATGTCCCCCTGATGTCATGCATATGCTCCAGAGGGGCCACTTGGGACAGAGAATCAACAATGGGCGCTTGGTGTGCACTGAAAGCTGATAGTGTATATTTGTGGGGACTATACAGGGAGAGGAATATGAAGCCTTGACAAGATGTGGTGAGTATGTATCAGTGAGGTAGGTAACTCATTAATAAGGGACTTCGCAAGGTGGCAACACTGGTTCAAAGAGATTACGAGAATAAAGATTCTGTGAACTCAGAGAACGAAAAGGAATGCTGACGTAAGATCACAAAGTTAGATACAAAACTGGTTAACGTGCGTGCTACAGGGCAGCAAAACTGTAACTTTTGGGGTAATTTATCTGACCAGATAGGAATCATTTGCATCTCTGCAGAACAGAAAAACATTTACCTTTTTTTTTTTTTTTTTTTTTTTTGAGACAGTATCTGGCTCTGTCCCCCAGGCTGGAGTGCAGTAGCATGATCTTGGTTTACTGCAACCTCCACCGCCTAGGCTCAAGCCATCCTCCCACCTCAGCCTCCAGAGTAGCTGGGACTACAGGCATACACCACCATGTTGCCCAGGCAGGTCTCAAACTCTTGAGCTCAAGCCCACCTCAGCCTCCCAAAGTGCTGGGATTACAGGCGTGAGCTACCATACCCAGACAGCACTTACATTTTAACAGTTTCTACACAGTACTATCTCACGTTATTTTATTTTGTTTATTTTTTAATATCGATATGGGAATCTTGCTATGTTGCTGACACCAGTCTTGAACTCCTGGCCTTAAGCAATCCTTCCGTCTTGGCCTCCCAAAGTACTAGGGTTACAGGCCTGAGCCGGGGCTCCTGGCCTAACTAAGAGTTAAGAATGTTTGGACTCTATTTTATAGTAAAAAGTAAGTCAAAGTTACCTTCCCCTAGATAGCCAAATGACTCTCAAATGGGCTTGTTAGACATTGCTTTAATTTAATATTGAAAGAACTTTTTGCTTCCCCTCCTCCTAGTTTTAATAATTCTTAACAGAGGGAAATAGCAACAAAATTTTTGCTGTAGTGGGTATTAAAGAAGGGAAAACAGACATGAATGCTAGAGTCAAAATGCTCAAGGAGCGGAGGCACCAGGGTTATCCACCTGGTTTGGCGGCACACCAGCGGGTGACCTGGAATCTGATTTCACTGGAGCTCGGTGTCCTCATCTATAAAATGAGCTATTGAACTACGCACTTGGCAGGACTTTGCCCTAAAGATCATTTTCAAAATAAAATATATATATATATGCCACTTCCCTTTTCCCACATTAACCCTGAGAGACAAAGAGGAAGCGGGAAGCCAGCACATGGAAGCAATTTATTGCAGACGTTCCTGGGTTGGGAGAGGAGCCTTCTGACTGCTGCAGAGACCTTTACCGGAGGTGCGGAGAACTGCTGCGGGGCTCGGCGCGCACCGGGTTCCGGGGTGTTCACGGGCGGCGCTGCCTCTGCGCGCGCAGGACGGGAGTCGCCGGAGGACCGGTGGTGGATTCCCTCCCCGCATCCCTCCTTTGCGTCCAAAGTCAAATTGCTCTTTTCTCCGCCCACGCGGGCGTGGCGGCTGATATCCGGCCGCTGGGCGTCCCTGCGCCCCCGGGGGCCCCGCCCTGCCGCTATCTCCGCAGCCCACCCCGCGGCGCCTCCCTGCAGAGCTGCTCCCCCGCCCAAACCGCCGCGGCGCGACGCCGAGCCAGCCCCGCGAAGCTGCACCCACCCCTGAGGACCAGCCCCTCGAAGGCAGGGCCAGCACCTCCCCGGGCTGCTGCAGCCGTGAGCCACCCCTGTTTTGTGAAACACACACTCTAACGTTTCAGGCCGCACTTGCCCGTTGCCATGGGCGTTTTCTGTGTTGACACAAGCAGGGACTCGGAATCCCTTGACTTTGAGTTGCAGATCGTGGGTGTTGGCGTCTCCGCTGCGTTACCAGGAAGGATGGAAGGGGCTTTAGCCTCCATCCTCACTTTCCTTCTCAAAGAGTTGGCTGAGCACCCAGAGTTTTCTCTTTGGCTTGTCTCAGGTCCCCTTTCCCTGAGAGGTGAAAAGTTTTTCGGAAAGGTGAGCGCTTTCTGTTTATTCCTAGGGGCCACTTCACACACTCCTTTTTCACCTCCAGAGTAGATGGAACCGTGGAACCATGGAACCCTGCCCTCTGGTTGTGTCTGTCATCTCCTACTGGGACCAGAGCCACAAAAGACCTAACTCTCTCCAGCGTGCAGGCATCCCAACTAGAAGAAGCAAGGAGGCAGAGACCAAGAGGACATCAAGAGGCGTTTGAACCCACAGAGAGGGCCTGGAACACAATGCTGAGCGTGGGCCCAACCACTGCTTCTCAGCGGGGTGGGAGAGTGGCGTGGGGAGAGTTGTGGGCATTTAGGGCAGGACAGTGCCCCGCCCTCGGCTTGGGACCGGGCTGCATTGCATCATCACTGTAACCACTAGCCGCCCCCGCCCTCACAACCCCTGTGTATGAAATGCAAGTAGCACCTCCCCGTCGTTGTGACAACCCAAAATGCCACCTCCTATGCCCAAGCACTCTCTAATGAGGTGTTTCCTTAGGTTGAAAACCACTGTTAGATGATTTCCTAAAATATATCTCAAAAGATCAATTAGTTCCTTAAGATATAAGTAGGTGTTATATGAAAAGAGTAGCATGCTAATATCAGTATCATGCTGAGTTTGGGAAATGGTGGGTTAAAAAGTGGAGCAGGATTTACTTACAGGACTTCTCAGAACCTTTAATATGTATAAATATATGTTTTGAATCACCAAGAGAGAGATGGACTATGCGGATCCCCAAATTTAATTGGCCCCGGAATTCTTTCTTTGTAGGACCCTTTTAGGTGCAGCGTATCTTAGATACCTCTGAACTACATTCTGTCGTCCAGGGCACTCTCTGGGGACTTCTGTATCCTCCCCAGTGTGAAGTGCAGGAGTGAGCAGTCAAAAGGCCCTTATGTTTTTACTGAATTGAAACACCTAGAATGTGTGAAGATACCAGGAAGGAGGCCAGAGCTTCAGGAAACCGCTGCAAAGATGACCTCACAAAGAAATCATTGTGGCAGGGCCCCTGGCGCACTCAAGGTGAGGTGACGTGTCCTGCTCCTGAGAGCACGCAGCCCTGCTGGCGCCTTGGGCTTGCATGGCTCAGGGAAAGGAAAATAGCCTGGGTGTTTGGAAGAGAAGTATGTGTGGATGGAATTACTCAAATGCTGATGGATGGATTGGGTCTCCTGTCCTGCTGGCCTGGCAGCCTCTGTGTGGAAGGCTTTGCCCAGGAGATGGGTCACAGCAGCTCTGGTGAGATGCTGGAAACATAAGCCCAGGCAGATATAATGGCAGTGAGTCACAGTAAACCAACAACCATCAGGTGCTCAGGAGGGAAGCTGAAACCAGGGGACTCGCTGTGCTGAGCTAAGCGAGGAGCAGGACTCTCCTGTTGTGCAAAACACAAAGAGCAGAGTGTTCAAGTCCAAGGATCAGGTTCCTCCAAATGGAAGCCCAAGCTGTGCGCACTGAGCTCCAGGGCTGGCGATACAATCACCTGCCTCTGCCCATGCAGGAGGGTACCACCCAAACATACCCATTTCTCCTGGGGCATGGGCAGGGGCCAGGGGAGACAGGGCCCTACCACTTCCTGTGTAAAACTGAGTGAGCAGCCCAGCGCCCATCAGGGTCGAAGCACCTCACCTGCACCCCCCAGCCTTGTAATTTGGGCTCTGCTCACCACGTGCTCTGTGCTAGTGAAACTGCCCTCTGAGCAGAAATAAACTGTTGGCTCTTAAGTTTTTCCAGATTAACCAGACTGGCCAATGCCTGAGGCTCTGCGTTCAAGATAAAAGTGCCTAAGAAAGGAAAAAAAAGTGCAAGTAGGCAGTCCCCACTTCTCCAGGGCTGGCGGGCTCTGAGGATCCTGCCTTAGCCTGCTGAGCAGCCCAGAGTGGCTTTAAGAAAAAAAAAAAAAAGCCTGAACAATTTTTTTTTGCACATGGGTCACAGTCAAGCTTCTTAAACTTGGATGACAGTAAACCTATGACTAACTGGATAATTAAAGCCACAAGTCTGGAGGCCTGGGCAGGGCTCTGCTCTGGAATCTCCGGTGGCCTGTTCTATAGGCCAGCGTCCGTTGTCCTCCCCATAGCACAAATGCTTTTGTGAGTTGGAAACCCTCTGTGGTGACCTCTCCGTCTTCTCAAGGTCAGTTCTCCACTTGTCCATGGCTTCATGCCCCCACCCTGCATCCCTGTCCACTGCATGGAAGGAGGAAATCTAACCCACCGGCCACAGTGCAGCCCACACTCCCCACCCTGCCCCGACAGGAACATGACAGAAGGTTTCCAACTAAAACCAAAGTTACTCAGCAAAGCTTCCTGCCAGGCAGCCATGCTGGAGGGCGCAGCGTGCCTCTCTCTGCTCTATCTGTTTTATGAAACTTCTCTGCTGCAAGCACTTGAGAGCCTCCCGGCTTCCTGGGGAGAGTGGACTGAACTTCAAAGCAGACACCGCTGCAGCTAAGAAGCCCCTGGGTTGCTTCAAAGACTGTCTCTTCCCAGTCTGAAGCTTCTGGTGAATGTTTCTCCCTCATTTCTGAAACAACAGATAGAGCTACTGAAGTTTACAACATCCCCCAAGGCATTTCTGTGTTTCTGCCTTTAATCTAGGGCCCAAGTGACCACCCACAAGAATGCCCTGAACCCTGACTGCCTCAGGATGCATCCTGCAGTTTACATTCCCATGGTGCCTCCGCCTCCACTCCAGCCGCCTCTCTGGCCACCCCTGCCCCCTCCCTTCTCTCCATCATGCCAAAAAGTGCCCTCGTCCTCTGATGGTGGACGAGAGGATTCGGTTAGGAGTCAGGATGGTCTATGTGATTTTTGTACACTATTCCAGAATAGGTGTGTGGTTGCTTTAAAAATAAAAAGAAATGTGTCTTCCAAATCTTTGAAGCCCTTTGATTACAGGAAGCTGTGGACCGTGTTTAGCCTGTGGCTCTGTGTGCCCCTTGGCTGCTGCTGCTTACTCCTTTTTTTTTTTTTTTTTTTGAGACGGAGTCTTGCTCTGTGTCCCAGGCTAGAGTGCAGTGGCGCGATCTCGGCTCACTGCAAGCTCCGCCCCCCGGGTTCACGCCATTCTCCTGCCTCAGCCTCCCAAGTAGCTGGGACTACAGGTGCCCACCACCTCGCCCGGCTAGTTTTTTGTATTTTTTTTAGTAGAGACGGGGTTTCACGGTGTTAGCCAGGATGGTCTCGATCTCCTGACCTTGTGATCCGCCCGCCTCGGCCTCCCAAAGTGCTGGGATTACAGGCTTGAGCCACCGCGCCCGGCCTGCTGCTTTACTCCTGAGTGTGAGGTTGCTAACAAGAAGCAAGAGTAATTTGGATTTGCACTTCTTGGTAAAAACCCCTTTCCATTAACCCGTAAAACTCTAGAGGGCAGGGGATCTCTCACATTGAATCTTGTGGTCTTGTGAAAATACCTGGAAAATAGTAGGCATTCTCCAATGATTGTTGGATTCATGTCATTGCTTAAAAAAATAACAAAAACAAAAACAAAGTCACTCTCTCAGCTCAGAATGGTGTATTTGCAAGTGTTTAGGTCAAACATGTGTTGAGAAATTGCACATACACCGTGTACATCTCATGTCATCAGGAACTTACGTTACCAGACCTCTTGTTTCGCCCACTATCTTGTCATCTGTATTGAGCAGACTAATACCTAGCAAACCAGATGAGCCTTCAGGAGGTCTGTAGACTGAGAAGGGCGTTTGAGATAAAGAAATCCCACAGAGTTCTAAAACCAAAATGAAAAGTATAAAGATGATTGTCCTGTGAAGTGGCCCCAAGCCTCAGACCCATCACCATCTGCCTCTGGCCTCACTTGGGGGCCAATGAAGATGCTCAGCACAGAACCTCTCATCTGTGGTTGTGACTTCCTGGCTGGCCAGACCTGAAGGAGGTGGAGGAAGAAGTGCTGTGGTGAGTCCTGTGACTCAGAGGAAAGCAGCCAGGACATGACGCCCAGCACAACCGCCTGGGGTGGCTGCAGGGAGGTGGCCTAGGGACAGATGAAGCTGCAGTGGCGACCACCTCCCCTGCAGAAGGAGCTTTCTTGTCCCTCCTCATCCAAACACACTCCAACTTAAAAAATCATTATGCATAACTCCGAAAGCAGCTCTATGCTGTACCTGTGTGTGTCCTACCAGATTTCTTTGTTCCTGGGGGAAAACAGCAATAAACATCACATTCCTTTGCTACTGCTTAAAAGTTAAGAAAAGTTGCAGTCAAACCATCTATTAACAGATAAATTTAAGAACGGTGTGAGTTCCTGCCAGCTGCTGCTGATGGGTTTTCCAGAAGGGAATGATATGCCGGCAAGGCAGTGATTAAGTGTGATGACAACTACCAATTTAGTGAAGGGTCAGTGGTTTTCTTGTATATTTATTTATTTTTATTTATTTTATTTTATTTCATTTCATTTTATTTTTGAGACAGAGTCTTGCTCTGTCACCCAGGCTAGAGTGCAGTGGCATGATCTCAGCTCACTGCAACCTCTGCTTCCCGGGTTCAAGTGATTCTTCTGCCTCAGCCTCCTGAGTAACAGGCCCGTGCTACCACGCCCAGCTAGTTTTTTGCATTTTTAGTAGAGATGGGGTTTCACTGTGTTAGCCAGGATAGTCTCGATCTCCTGACCTCGTGATCCGCCCGCCTTGGCCTCCCAAAATGCTGGGATTACAGGCATGAACCACCACACCTAGCCATTATTTATTTATTTTTGAATATTGAAACCCTCTGATTACTTACTTGAAATAATACCAAATAGTAGCATTATGGTAACGGCAAGAATTCAACCACTTCCTGGCAAGTAGTAAGTATACTTCATTTTATTCTCATTTTCTCAAGTTTAGAAGTTACTTAGAAGTAAACTCTAAGTTCGGTCCACCCAGGTCTAAGGAAATCTTCCTTAGTGTCTTAGTTTGCTAATCCCAAGACGGTCTCTGGGAACACTCTGAGCAATGAGACCAAGGCCCTGCCCCCCAGGCCATCTGCTGTCACCAAGCCAGGGCACCTGGCCTAGAGGGCTACATGTGGGTCGTAATGAGCCATCTGGCTGCCTGGCAGAAGGCATCCACGGGCAGGTGTCTGAGACGCTACTGACATTACCACCGACCTTTGCCAAGAAGCAGGTTTGGTTTTATCCAGAATGGCCCAGCGTGGTGGTGAGAATGCATCTTCCTGGTCCAGGACACTTTCAGGAACCAGACTGAAAATTCTCACCCTCAACATTGAATTTTTGCCTTAGCAGTAGGGTCTACACTTTCCCTGGGTTGTTCTGGGACTTCATTCTGACCATTTTCCTCCCCATCTGGAACAAAGCAGGTCTCTCCATACCTTCATATCCTTCCATGTGTCCTGACCAGTCACAGGGGCAGTGTCAAGGTGTGGCTCCTGGAGGTTTTCTTTGTTTATTGGGGTTCTTCGGAGAAACAGAACTAGTAGGAGGTGTGTGTGTGTGTGTGTGTTTGTGTGTGTGTGTGGTGTGTATGTAAATAAAAGGAAATTTATTATGAGGAACTGGCTTCTGGGGTCATAGAGGTCGAGAAGTCCTGTGATCTGCCATCTGCCAGCTGGAGACCCAGGAAAACTAGTGATGTTATAATACAACCCAAGCTGGAAAGCCTGGGAACCAGGAGAGCGGATGAATGAGATCTCAGTGGAGGACTGGAGTTCAGTGCTGCGATCATGGCTCACCACATAAAATGTCCCAGGTCAAGCAGTGAGGCCAGAAAAAAGGGGTAAATTCCTCCTTCCTCTACCTTTTGTTTTATTTAGGCCCTCAAAGGATTGGGTGATGCCCACTCACATTGGGGAAGGCAAGCAACCTTACTGTGTCCACCCATACAAACGCTGATTCCATCTGGAAACATCCTCCAAGACACACCCAGAAACAAGGTGTTACCTGGGCACCTCAGGCCAGTCAGGTTGACACATACAATTAACCATCACAACTTTGTTTTTAAAATAGAAGTGCAATTTAGGCTGGGCTTAGTGTTCACACCTATAATCCCAGCACTTTGGGAGGCTGAAGCAGGCGGATCACCTGAGCTCAGGGGTTCGAGATCAGCTTGGCCAACGTGGTGAAAACCCGTCTCTACTAAAAATACAAAAATTAGCCAGGTGTGGAGGTGCAGGCCTATAGTTCCAGCTAGTCAGGAGGCTGAGGCAGGATAATTGATTGAACCCAGGAGACAGAGGTTGCAGTGAGCCGAGATCGCACCACTGAACTCCAGCCTGGGTGATAGAGTGAGACTCTGTCTCACCAAAAAAAAAAAAAAAAAAAAGTGCAATTTCAATCAAAAGAGTTTAATATACAACAAATATCGATGTAGCTTTACATAAAGTCCTTTAGCCATTCCTTGCTCCCGAACAAAATGCCACTCGCAAGAGTTTCCTATATAGAAATTCTATTGTCACCACTCATCTGCTGTGACACGTGTCACAAATAGTTTCTGATATAGTATCAGAGTACATACATTATTTACCTTTGGCCTGGCAGGCACAGTGGCTCATGCCTGTAATCTCAGCACTTTGGGAGGCTAAGGAGGGTGGATCGTCTGAACCCAGGAGTTCAAGAGCAGCATGGGCAACATAGTAAAACCCTGTCTCTACAAAAAATACAAAAATTAACTGGACATGGTGGCTCATGCCAATAGTCCCACCTGCTCTGGAGGCTGAGGTGAGAAGATCCCTTGAACCCGGGAGGTAGAGACTATGGTGAGCCAAGATCGCACCACTTCGCTCCAGCCTGGGCAACACAGTAAGACCATGTCTCAAAAAAATTATTTACCTTTAAAAACTAAATTATAGCTCAAAGTGATTGGTGTTACAGGGTACCTCTCTGTTACTTGGGTTTAAATTTGTTTCTAGAATGGGAAAGGAGACAGTGTGAGAGCTTGTAGCCTGGCTACACTCCTGAGGAGAGCCGGGGAGAGTGCTCTGCTGGCACCATCTGAGCCCGCTGTCATCAGGGCTTATTGGGAGCAGTGGACAGACAGAGGGAGAAGGAAGGTGAGGACTGCTGATCCATGGTGCTGTAGTAGGCTGTTACACAGCAGCAGAGAAAGTGGATTCCTAAGGCTTTAGAGAGCCAGAGCCTTCCTTCTCCCTCCAACAACGGACGTCACCAAGTATAATTTATCCTAAATCCACCAAGTGGATTGAGGCTCTTAAGATATAAGGACCTCCTTTGGGTTCTTCCTATTTGGGGGCAGAATATTAGAGCACACCCAGACCAGTCCTGCGGCCAGGACTCTACCCAGACTATAGCCTGAAGGTTCAATTTGCTTGGTCTAAGGAATTTTTTTTTTATGTTTTTGTTTTTTAAAAATAGAGTTGGGGTTTTGCTACATTGCCCAGCCTGGTCTTGAACTCCTGGTCTCAAGTGATCCTCTCATCTCAGCCTCCCAGTATTGGGATTACAGGCATGAGCCACCATGCCCGGCCTAAGGAATTGTAAACATTAAGCGCCATCATTTTAAAATTAGGAAAATTCAGGTAAAATTGAGATTCTTGATTTCTTCCAAGAATCACAAATTTCACCGTGTTTGGCAACACTAGACTGTGTTCCTACACAACAGCAGCGGGTAAGAGCACACGGTGGGTGAGCACACGGTGGGTGAGCACACAGCACCCCCTCCTCTGCTCACTGCACCCCAACACTCACCCATGCAGCCCCACCCCACTTGCTTGGAGTGTCCTGCAGGCGAGGGGCCACTGTGTCACTCCCACCACAGAGCCCCACTCTCCTGTTCTCTCTGCGACTCAGAGGACGTCTAGACCCGTGTTTCCTGGACAGAAGTCAGTCCTTGGAGCCACAGTTTATTCCTTCCTTCGCCCCTACACAAACGCAAAAGCCTCCTCCCCATTTACTAAGCCAAAGAATGTCAGGATTGAATGTTTTGAAAGAAGAGTTAAAGACAGCTTTAGCCCTGGCATTCCACAGCTCCTTATTAACACAGAGACTTTTCATAACTCTGAGACAGCTGGAGACACGTTTTTGTGAATTCAAAACTCCTGTGAAGGACGCTGGCCTCAAGGGTGCGGGGGAGGCTGGTCAGGATTCCTAATGTGCTCTTGGACTCAGGGCAGGTGCAGCTGGTGTTCTAGACCACAGCACCATGGCAAGAAGGCCCGAGACCCTCTGGAGCAAGTCAGGGTCCAGGCACCACTGGCCCCAGGTGAGCCCAAGATGCAGGCTTCAGTGTCAAATTAGCCGAGAAACAGACAGGACCCAGGGCCTGAGCACACAGACAGCCCCACGCACGCACGTGGGATCACACACTGATTCGCTCATGGGAGCTGACTGTGAGGGCTGACATTGCCTTTGGACTGAATTGTATGGGATGTGCTAAAAGAGGCTTTGGAGTCAGAAAATGTTAGAGCCCAGCAAGGCACTCTAGAAAGCATCTGTTCCAGGGTCCCCAACAGTGACTGCTCTTGAGAATCTTCTAAACACTTCCAAAGTACAGATTCCGGCCAGGCGTGGTGGCTCACGCCTGTAATCCCAGCGACTTGGGAGGCTGAGGTGGGAGAATCGCTTGAACCTGGGAGGCGGAGGTTGCAGTGAGCCGAGATTGTGCCACTGCACTCCAGCCTGGGTGACAGAGTGAGACTCTGTCTCAAAAAACAAACAAAAAACAAAATATAGATTCCTAGGTTCCAGCTACCCCTGCCCCAACACACACACACATATGCACATATGCACACACATGGATTCTCATGAGCATCCAGGTTTGGGAACCACTGATATAGTCCAAACCTTTCCATTCAGTTTCTCAAGTACAGTACTAGGTTCAGTGACATTTCCAAGGCCACATCGCTGGTTTCGTGGGACTGGGATTACAGTACAAGTTTCTTGACTACAACCCAGGCCTTTTTCTACAACACACTATCTGTCTCCTGGATGTGTCATAAAGGAGGCTGCTGATGTACCCCAGAAATTTCTGGATGTGGAGAGAGGGTGAGAAACATAGTCTTTGTGCTTGTAAACCAAGGTAATTTTCCCCAATATTGGCCTCAGTCTCAAGTCTCTCTGGGCAAGAGATTCTGCCTCTAGCTCTACAATTACTGCAGTTTCCCTTGTTTTTTGAGAGGAGACGAAAAGTACTGTACATGTGTGTGGAGACTTCTCTGTGCCTCAGTTTACCTCTAAAATGGAGAGAGTGGCCAACACCCTTCTACCTTCTTCCTTGGGGCTCTGCAGATTGACCACAAAGAGATTGACCACAGATTGATTGACCTGTGAAACCCCAAGGCAGGAAAAGAAACTTTCTGTGCCCACACAGGTGTTCTTTTTTTTTTTTTTTTTTTTTTTTTTTTGAGACGGAGTCTCGCTCTTTTGCCCAGGCTGGAGTGCTGTGGCGCTGTCCCGGCTCACTGCAAGCTCTGCCTCTCGGGTTGACGCCATTCTCCTGCCTCAGCCTCTTGAGTAGCTGGGACTACAGGCGCCCACCAACACGGCCAGCTAATTTTTTGTATTTTTAGTAGAGACGGGGTTTCACTGTGTTAACCAGGATGGTCTCGATCTCCTGACCTCGTGATCCACCTGCCTTGGCCTCCCAAAGTGCTGGGATTACAGGCGTGAGCCACCGCGCCCGGCCACAGAGGTATTCTTAAAGTCAGGGTTGCTCTTGGCACACATATCAATAATCCTGATGTCTAGGTACCGTTGCAGATCCTTTGGCTCCCCTCTACCCATTCCAGGAAAGACTGCCTGTCTTCTCCTAGTTTCTTGAGGGCTGATGAAATATTTCCTGAATGTGATCTCAGATGGAATCCCAGTTTTGAGGGACCAAACAAGATTTTTCTTTTTTTTTTTTTCCTTTTTTTTTTTTTTTTTTTGAGATGGAGTCTGGCTCTGTCGCCCAGGCTGGAATGCAGTGGCGCGATCTCGGCTCACTGCAAGCTTCGCCTCCCGGGTTCACGCCATTCTCCTGCCTCAGCCTCCCCAGTACCTGGGACTACAGGCGACCGCCATCACGCCTGGCTAATTTTTCTGTTTTTAGTAGAGATGGGTTTTCACCGTGTTAGCCAGGACGGTCTCGATCTCCTGACCTTGTGATTCGCCCACTTTGGCCTCCCAAAGTGCTGGGATTACAGGCGTGAGCCACCATGCCTGGCCAAGATTTTTAAAAAATTAAATACTACTATTAAATAGCTGGTATTGAGTTATTGCTAAGTGCCAGGCATTATGCGAAACACTTTACATGCATTATGGCATTTAATCCTCACCACAACCCTAGTGAAATAAATATCAATATAATTAAAAGTATAAATATAAGTGAAGTGTTATAATAGTCTCATTTTACAGATGTGGAAAATGAGGCTCAGAAAAGTTAACGTGCCCAAGATCACACAGCTGCTAAATGACAGAGCCACAATTCAACCCACATAGTCATCTCTAGAAGCAAAGTTCCAGTAAAGGGATTGATGACTGGTCACCGTCGTCACGAACCTGACCTTTCCTGCAGCACTGCCTGGTACTTTCCCAGTACAGTGTTCTGCCCTGACACAGCCAAGGCCAAGGGCAGTGTAGGCACAGCAGCCGTGACTCTCTGCTGGGAGGTTAACAGCTCCATCAGTTCAGGGACTGCCTGACCCAGCCTGACCAAATTAGAGCAAGTAATGGATGTGACATAATTTGACATGTACATTGTTAATTGAACCCAGTGGGAGATGATTTTAAATAGAGGCGAATACCACGCTGTGAACTATTTGGGTTATGAAGCTCTTATTCTCTTATGCTTGCAGGAGAAAGAATTGTGCCATGAAAAATGGAAAACTCCCGAGAAGCTGTTCCAGCGTCAGGAGAGCAGCAGACAAGCTGGACTGGGGAAGATTCTTCCTGGAAGTTTCGGAGATGTCACTCTCATTTCCTAGCATCTGACCCCCAAATCCTCTCAAAGCCCAAATCAAGAACCACAGACTCTAGTCATCTTTCCCCCAGAGACTTCCTAACTGGGGGACCGGAAACCCCAATTACAAAGCCTGCCCTGGTAAGACGGCAAAACAGGCACCGCTTCAAGTCCCCAAATGCAGCCCTCACAGCAGTCTCCCTTTCTGAGGTTCAGAGAAGCAAGAGCCCACCCCAGGTCCTCGCTGAGGGACTCATGCAGGTGCAGTCTCTCTGGGCGTCACCCTATGCCCAACTCCTAGGCCTGTTCCCTCCTCACGATCAAAACTTACCTGTCCTATTTCCCGTGCCCTCCTACTTGCTTCCTGACCTTCATGAAGAGTTCGAGTGCCGCATGTGCTAGTGCCACCGATCCTAATGGCTTATGATGTGTTTATCCTCTCAGGCAAGACCTGCAGAGTGTGCGACACATACCAGCACCCAAGAAATGTCTACCGAGGAATTAATGAATGAGGTAAGTTGAATGAGTGAAGCAAAGGTTTTTCAGGAAATCCCGCGCCTTACCGCAAACCAGTAAGCCTAATACTGGGTTTCAGGCTACTGAAAATGACATTTGAGAGCAATAGACCTTTTGGGAGCAATTTGCCTTTTAAAAAATTAAAGTCCTTTAAATAACATTACCTGGTGAGGATGACCAGGAAAAACATAGGGCATAGGGCGGCCTCCCCACAGGCATTTTTCTTCTTTTCTCTTTCCTATCAGGGTCCCATACTTCCCAGCCATGCTGTTGGCAGGGATTCACATAGTCGCAATTCTCTGGGTACACCTTGGGACATTTAAGCCAACCAGTGACCCCCATCATCCTAGCCCCAGAGATTGGCTTAGGGATAGTGACCCAAAGCAGGCCAATGCAAGGTGACTTTGCCAGGGGCTTCTGGGAAAGAAGTTTCCTTTCTCTGAGGAAACGTGAATGAGAACATCCATAACGCAGGTGGTGTCTGGCAGCCATCTTGTGATCATCTGGCAAGACAGCCCAAGAATAAAGCTGCCACCATGGTAGACTAAGAAGACACAGAGAGACACTGGGTCTTCATTGACTCGACCAGCTGCACATGAGGCCTTACCTGAAGCCCACGTGACCTCTGCACTTCTCACATGACAGAATAAAGCTCTTTTTTGTTTAGACCAAATAAACACATAATGCAATTACATAATCCCTTGATTCCTTTTTATGACTGAGCTCAGAGACTGTATTTTGTCATTTTTAAATCACCTTTATCTTACAGTTTATTTAACTGAAACAAATAAACCAAAACACGCCAGTTTTTCACTCCTCTGTCAAAGCCTTTCCAAGATCCCTAAGCTTGTGATGTCCTGGGTGAATGAAGAAGTAAGAGAGTTTTCAACAAAATAGAAGCTTATTTCTCTCTCATATAAAAGAAGGCTGGAGTCTGGCTGGTATGGGAGCTACGTCATCAAAGTTCTATCTTTTCGTCCTGCCATCCTTAGTATACAGTTTTCATCTTCAAGATCATGTCATAAGCTATGAGGATGCAAAGGTATAAGAATGACATATGCACTTTGAGGACTCGGTGTGGGGGAAGGTGAGAGGGAGTGAGGGATAAGAGACTACATATCGGGTACAGTGTACACTGCTCGGTTGACAGGTGCACTAAAATCTCAGAAATCACCACTAAAGAACCTATCCATGTAATCAAAAACCACCTATACCCCAAAAACTATTGAAATAAAACTAAAAATTAATTAAAAAAACAAAACAAAACAGATAACTTCATGGTCCAATGTGGCAGCTAGAGCTCCAATCATCACGTTAATCTCCTTGTTCCAGAAAGGCATGGGAGGAAAGGAGAAGGAGAAAAAGGAGTGTGTCAGTGGCCTATACCTCTTTAGGAGTCCACAGAAGACTACACAACAACTTCTGCTTATATCTCACTGGCCTTCAGGCTGCAAATGTGGCTTCCAAGTGTAGTCTTTCAGCTGAGCATACTGCCACCCAGATTAAAATCTGGGTTATGTGACTAAGGAAAAAGAGGAGACTGGATACTGGATAGGCAACTAGCAGCCTCTGCCCTACCCTACTTAACAAACTGGTCCAGCTTCTGTGTTCAGATCTGATGCTTGGTGCCTGTGTCTCCAAGGAGACCCCATGATTCAAGCTGCAATTACTCTCTCCACAGGCCCTTAACAAGGAAAGCCGGATTTTTTCCCTCCTGAGGATCCTTTGACCAGCATCTTCGGATTTTTTTCAGTTAGAAGTATTCACTAAGAGCCTGTTGTTTTGTTTTGTTTGTTTGTTTTTGTTTTTATGTTTTTTTAATGACCACATCAGTCTTTCATTAGCATCTTTGCTTTGATTTATCTTATTGCATAGTTGAATTTCTTCTCTGCCATATTCCAGCCAGACCCCATTCATACTCACCCATCTTCGTTCACAAGTCTTTCCCTAAAACTATGTTTTGTGCAACATGGGTCCGCTCTTCCATAGTTAGTTTCTCACTTCCCTCTGGCATTAACTTTCTCAATCTGGTGGATAAGGCACTTGTGGCCCAGGGTAACAAGAACTGTGGTTGGTTGGCAACAGCAGCTGAGTGGGGCTGGTCTTCTCTGAATCATGAAGGACAGGGAATTATTTTGCCTGGAGACAGATGACTGGGTGAGGCTAGGGTGATGATTTCTTTTTCAGCTCTCTCAAGGCCTTCTGGCCCCTTATTGTACATTTCAGGCCCCATAGAGAGTGCTGCAAGCCTCTGTTAGTAATTCACAGGCACAAACAAGGCAAAATCAAACAATAGTAATGAAGCAAAATATTGTTTCACTAGAGGCAAAACATCTGCTCCTCCCCACCTCACTTGCACAAAAGCAGAAAAAAAAATTAAATCAATGTCGAAGAATGCTAACAAAACATGTTACCTCGAATCTTCACATAAAGAATACCTTTTAGAAATATCTAGTTGTTTCATTTACTTGAATGTTCCCATTTTTATAAACTGAAAGCTATTATAAATCATAATTTTACATTCTATTATGCGTTTTCAAATGGAAACATCCTTAGGCAAATGTGAACAATTATCTCCAAATGTTATTTTTTTTTTTGAGTTATAATCTTCAGAGGAACAACTAAATTATACTTTAAATCACCGGTTTAAAACTAAACCTCGCCAGGCACAGGGGCTCATGCCTGTAATCACAGCATTTTGGGAGGCCAAGGCAGGCAGATCACTTGAGGTCAGGAGTTCAAGGCCAGCCTGGCCAACATGGCGAAATGCTGTCTCTACTAAACATACAAAAAATTAGCCCGGTGTGGTGGCACACACCTGTAATCCCAGCTAATCAGGAGGCTGAGGCAGGAGAATCACTTGAACCCAGGAGGTGGAGGTAGCAGTGAGCCGAAATCACACCACTGCACTTCAGCCTGGGTGACAGAGCAAGACTCCATCTCAAATAAATAAATAAAACATAAAATTATGAGACCTGATATTATGGGCTTAACCAAGAGGACTTGCCATTGGATTTTTAAAGTTTTTAAAAATTGATATAATCATCCCTTTTATTAGAGATATTCATATATTTTTAAACCAAATTATTGTGATAATGCACATTTTAGGGTCACAGGCATTCATTATCTTAATGGCCTAATGATAAATGGTGCAAAGGTTTGAGACCTAAGAGACCTTTACTGTATTGAGAGGGCAGGTGAAGAAATTCCAAAGGGAGGTATTAGCGTATTTCCTCTCTGCTTTTCAATCTCCAACAACAGACAGTAACATCATAGTTCTGAACATTCTCCATATATTATTTGGATTAAACAGAGCCTTATTTTCCAGGGAAAACAGGCAGCATGAATTTTAAAAGGTGCATTTTGCTGATAAGCCAATCTGTACCCAAACGTCACACCACATTCACTCTGATAAGATCCTTCAAGAAACTAGGAATGACTCCATTCCCCTGGAAAGCACAGTCACAAGCATCCAAGGCCATTGGGAGAACTGGATGGATATCAAGGGATGTGTCTTTTTGGAGCTGGAGAGGATGTACTGAGGAGCGCAGACCCTAAAGCAGACAGGATCTATCTCAGAAAGGTCATTTGAAAGAGAACTTACAGAGGAATGGCATCCTCCTTTGTCTTTGGGTAGACCAGCCAGGTCTCTGGCAGCCCTACTGCCTGGGCTCCTTTCCAGGGCTGAAGCACCCCTACGAGCAGTTGAACAGCTTGACTCTGGCAGCGAAGAAACCCTTGATGGGCCTCTGAGGCTGGGGAGCCTGACTAGTACCTCACTGATGAGAAATTGCACTGTCCTTGGAGACATTGTCCTTGTTGTCGCCTTAAGAGCTTTCCTTTGTTTTTTCCCTCCCAGTATGCCACAGTTTGATTTTCTCCCTGCTTTACACAATAGCATTCTGCACAGAGGATCGTGAGCCACAAAGTTAGGGGGACCATGTGTAACAACTTATACAAAGAGCATGGTCCTGTAAAACTAGCTGGGTGATGTTGGGCAAGTCACTTAACTTCTCTGTGTCTCTGTTGTCACAACTGGAAAATGGAGATTATAACAGCACTCACCTCCCGGAACTGATGAGTAAATACTGCCTAGCTGATAGAGCTGCATAAAAGTTAGCTATGACTACAAGGACAGGTGAGCAGTTTCTTCTACTGTACTTTCTCCCTGGATTTACATTTCACTAAAACACACATTTGCCTCTCCAAACACAGGACCAAGATCCTAAAAATGAATTGTCTCACTTGGAATTCTTTAATTGGTCTTGGAATTCTTTAATTCTGTCCATAGTTCTTGAGATATCAAAATCTGTGGCCTGGTGTGGTGGCTCATGCCTGTAATCCCAGAACTTTGGGAGGCCTAGGTGGGCAGATCACTTGAGGTCAGGAATTCTGAGACCAACCTGGCCAACTTGGTGAAACCCTGTCTCTACTAAAAATAGAAAAATTAACCAGGCATGGTGGCACACACCTGTAATCCCAGTTACTCAGAAGGCTGTGGCAGTAGAATTACTTGAACCTGGGAGATGGAGGTTGCAGTGAGCCGGGATTGTGCCACTGCACTGCAGCCTGAGCAACAGAGCGAGATTCCGTCTCAAAAAAAAAAAAAAAAAGGTGTGTGTGTGTGTAGATTCTTTTAGTCACACAAAGTCTATGCTGATTTGGTTAAATGTTAATCTAATGGTGAAGGGCTAAATAGCATTTGTTAACTATTAGCACACTGGCTTCAGGAACATGTGGATAAAATGTAACTACGTTATCTTGGTTCAAATTCCTTTTTTGTGACCGACTGTTGTCTCAATAAACCTTTGCCGAGTTTTTGTTTGTTTTTTTCTTGGTTGCAGCAGAGAGTAAAATAAGTACATCCAGACTTTCTCATATGGAGATAAATTGATGCCAAATTAGGTCTGTAGAGGCCTCATTTTGGCTTCTCTGGTCACTGTGCAGACGCATTTTCACGCACATTGAAGACAGTCCATTAGTTCTTGGCAAGGAGAATTAAGTTTTCAAAGCTGCTGTCTCTAACAAGCCTCCCCTTTCTTATGCACAAAACCTCACTGAAGGTGAGAGGCTCTTCTCCATTTATGGAGAAGACGGGCAAGCTCCATCTGCAGTTGCCCCTCTGTAGCCCTGACAATCATCATTCCCAGGAGGCCTCTGGACTCTGATTTGGATCAATCATTAAGTTCCAGCATACAACCCAGATTAAAATCTCTCCTTCCCAGGAGGAAAGCATTTTTAACCTCAAAATTATATAGTGAGGCCTTCAAAAAGTAATTTGCAAACTTCTTTGCCTCTGGAGAGGATACATCCATTCTCATCTGAAATTTTCCCTCAGTGCCTTCTGTGTTGCATTGACTGAGCTTCTGAGCTCTCGCGATGCAGCTGAAAAGGAAACAAAGAAGTTTTGCTCCTATCTGTTTCAGTGAAAATGTAAGCCAGAATGTTGTGGGTTGAGTCAGATTCTCAATGGGATCTTTAGATGGTGGGGTTCCTGGGAGGAAAATTCTGCAGATTTATTCTGGAGTACCTAGCCAGGACTCCTTGACCTCAGTGTGCTCTCTGAGCAGAGCCTCCTTCACGTGGAGAGGTGAACATTGTAGTGAAGGGTGTTGAAGTGCTAAGGATCAATATTCACTAGCAACCAGGATTTTGGAACATGGTTACCATGGTAACATTGTCAGCCCCAAATGACTGTCATGAGGTGAAAAAAAATTCTCTTAAAATAAATGAAACCAGAAAAAGTATATTTATAAACCTCTTACCAAACACCTATCTGTTCACAAAGTAGAACATGTTCTTTAA